TTATGCATAAAGATAGTCAGAAAAATCAAAGAGACCACCAGCATTACTTATTAGTCAAAAGAAGAGCAATTATATTGGTCCATATTTTAATATTGCCGTACTGACCATTTGAATTGCCGCTTTCTGCGATCATTGTGGTCGTATTCACAGCAACATACACTAAGTGAAGACAATAGATTAGCGAATTGCAAGATGCATAAAGGTCTAAGTTTAGAAGCCGTGTATTTGAAGATCTCGTATTTTAATTATTTATTAAGGTTTAAACGACAAAACTTTTGAAACTAACGGGATCTTTTAAATTTAAAATTTTTCTCTCCTTGTACGGCAAATTTATATCTCGCGATCTAAGCGTTTTTCAGATCAATGGCCGATAGACTGGATGAAACTTTGATGTTTTCTTCTTTCTATGCATACTATAGAGACACAGATATAAAGAAAAAAATGAAGAAAAGAACAAATTTTATCGTTTTATCAAAAAGAAAGCTTCTCTTCACTATGAAATTAGTGTTTATTCTAGCAACTCCCGAGATTAAAACGTTAACAAATTTGACGGTACCCTTCCTCAGCTTTTCTCTGGTAGTTTGTAGTACACAGCTCGTACTCTATACTATGCTATTTTTTAGAAAAAGCACGCTTTAATTTTTTCGCATATAGAGATCTCAATATTACAGAATAAAGTTAGCAAAATGTATGTTAAAATCACTACAATTAAATTGAAACAGATCCATTTTACTAACTTTTATCTATGATACTAACAGCTCTATTTCTTAAAAACTAAAAGAAATCCGTTTCTGAAAAATATATCAATGTTCCGATTTATAGGTCTCTTACAGTTTCATTTATTCAAATCAGACGTAAATGTAATCACTTATAACAGACTTATCTATTTGAAAAAAATTTGTCTGACTTTTGCATGATAACATAATCTAGTTACACTGGTCTTTTGGGTCGCTCATTTTCTTCTAAATTAACAAATTAGACATAGTGTACATATTCTGTATATAATATTTTGTAATTTGTATATCTTGCATCGTCTGTATACATTATTATCTATTTAGCTATAAATAATTCTCAGAGGAAAATAATCATTATTTTTTATTCTCTTCGACAATACAATTCTTAATTCAGATTCTTTTTTCGTATATGAGCACATAAAACCATTTGTCCTTAACGAACACAGTAAAAAAAATGAATTCTCGCATAGCTCCAAAGTAATTCTACATTCTGCTCAATTGGCTAATCAAAACTGGAATATTTAAAGAGGAAGGAATCCTTTTCACTTCTTACATTAATTTAAAATACACAAAGTGTAATATATTTGCCATATTTTTCAGAAACGGGTTTCTTTTAGTTTTTAAGAAATAGAGCTGTTAGTATCATAGATAAAAGTTAGTAAAATGGATCTGTTTCAATTTAATTGTAGTGATTTTAACATACATTTTGCTAACTTTATTCTGTAATATTGAGATCTCTATATGCCAAAAAATTAAAGAGTACTTTTTCTAAAAAATAGCATAGTATAGAGTACGAGCTGTATACTACAGCGATAAAATTTGTTCTTTTCTCCATTTCTTGCTTTATATCGGTGCAGCATACTTAACTGCACCAGATGACAAATCCACTTTTTCAGATGACAAATCCACAATTTGCTATACCACTGCCTGGCGTTGTACCTGTTTGCCAACAATCACGTCTTGGGTATATTCAACAAAAATGTCGCCGAATGTGTGATTATAGAAGGTAACATTGTCACTATGTCACCTATTTCTTATCTACTATGCTTGTCTTTTCATCTAGGAGAGGTTTTCCTGGTTCTCAACCCGTTTCAATGGATATAACTAATTATGAAACAATTGTTCAATCTCCCTATATGGTCAGTTGGAAAGCAGATGGAACAAGGTGAATGATTACTCCAACAGTTGTACTTTCTGTCTATCTTGAAATTATTTCATTTTTTAGATATATGATGTTAATTGAAGAACAGGATAATATTTATATGTTTGATCGTGATAATAACGCATTTCATATTCCTCACCTTCATTTTCCAAAAGATTCTGATTTAAATAGTCATATAACAGATACCTTAGTCGATGGGGTAATAAACATTTCTTATTTTGTTATTCTGATCAACTCTTTATAAATTTCTTTTCGTCTTTGTAGGAATTAGTATTAGATAAAGTGAATGGTACAATTGTGCCACGTTATCTTATCTATGATATCGTCACATATGAGGTAAAATTTCTTTTCGAACAAATGAAGAGCTAGTTATTTAGTATTGTGCTACATTATAGAATCAAAATGTTGCAAATTTACCATTTAAAGAACGTTTAGATATAATTCATAAATCCATTATTAAACCACGTGAAGAAGCCGCTCAAAAACATATTATTGATAAACAACAAGAATCATTTAGTATAAGAGAGAAAGCATTTTGGCCACTAACAGCCTTGCCAAAAGTAATAACTTGAAAGAAAAGTTTTTTTTTTTGAAACAAGACGTTTTAATACGACTGAAAAGGAAATATAATCTGTTAGATAAACACCTGAATGGTAGAGGCATACATTGTCTTTCACGTGTTTACCTATCAGGTTATTCTCCTTTTCAGTTGTGTCAAAATTTACTTCTAGTCCTGTTTCACATTTCTTCTACTTGTAATTTCTACGATTCATTTTCATCATTTGTCGGTCGTCTTTTATTTCAAGCTTACTAGTGACAAATTTACACAACAAATTCTTCACGAAGTAGATGGTCTTATTTTTCAACCAATGCAAGATGTAAGTCAATCATATTTTCTTTTGTATTGTAATTCTAATGTAGTTGTCTAATGTAGTTATCAGTCTAATTCTAATGTAGTTTCATCCGATCGAGCTCTTGAATTAAACCCACGAACAACCCATTGACAAAGTTCTTATATCTTTAAAACATCATCGCAAAAGGGAAATTCTATGTTTTATGTATACCCTGATCTTAGAGTTATTAGACAGTGTAGATAATAATTGTTTGCCTTTATATTCTTTGTAGCCATATACACCTGGTCGTTCTGTTCGTGTATTAAAATGGAAAGAACATAATACAGTTGATTTCCGCTTAAAAATTAGTATTGATAAGTCAAAATCTGGGTGCGTAGACAGAAGCTTTGACTTTTCTTAATCGCCAGACAGTTTGCTAGGCCTTAAGATTTTATAAGTGAATGTTTTAAAACTCAATCCTGGCATCTTTCATGTAATTCACACTCACTTTTCCACCAAAAATCCACATCTTATAATATAGCGGATAAACGGAGCACTGACATCAGAGTTATAGATATACTTTTCAACTGCTCTCCGATAACGAGAAAATCAAGGATAATAATATTTTCTATGGAAACTACTTTTAATTTTACAATAATTTTTGGATTTTAGTCAGTTACCAGAGAGGAATGCTTATTTATATGTTAATGGCCTTCCTGCACCATTTGCACAAATGAAATATTCATCCAGCTTAAAAGAATATGATAATAAAATAGTTGAATGTATATTCAGAGATGGTCAATGGCATTTTCTAAAAGAAAGATTAGATAAATCATTTCCAAATGCAATAGGTATTTTTATTTTCTAAATAAGACTTTGTCTTAAAATAGAATTTATTTGACTTAATTTTTTCTTTGTGTTTTAGAAACAGCTTGTGGTATGATTTAGGAGCAATTGTTTTTCATAACCAGTAAATGTTTACCATTGCCATCCTCCTTGTTCATCTATTTTAGGCGCTATTCTTGCAATCCAATATCCTATAACAAAGGAACGCCTTGTTTCTTTAATCGCAAATAATGAACCACAGCATACTTCTGGACAATATTAATTCATCTTTTATTTTATTTATTTATTTATCTAATGTTAAGAAACTTGATGGAACACTTTAATATTTGTATGTATACATATATATATGTATGTGTAAATTTTCATAAGAAAAAGATAACAGTTATTAACAATTTATGTAAAAACTTGTCACTATCTTTTTTGATGAAAGAAACAACATATTTCTGACCTAAGTGCGATGTATTGTAGTAACTCAAGCGTCTTCTCCAACTGATTTAATCTGTAATGTAAAAGTTGTACTTTTTGACAACAAATTCCGTCGAAATGTCTTAATTTCCTAATGTTTTATGTTTTGTCTTTTTCAAAATGTTTCATTTTTGTCTTTGAGATACATAATGTACGATCAAACAATTCACTCAAACATAAGCTGATTTATCTTTCTCATCGGAGAAGCGGAGTGTTATCCTAGTGAATGTACTCAAGCGTGAGTACTCAGATGCGTACTCATGCTGAAAAATGCGAGGAGTACACATTTTTTTAACCGTTGTGCACCCACGAGTGAGTAATGAGTATCGTGGGTACGATTTTGGGTACTCATGCTTAAGTTTTGTTGAATACAACTTTTGGCAAAATTAGGTATGCACCGGTATCGGTATACCGAATACCGAAAATACCGAACATCGGTATATACCGATACCGAAAATACCGAACATCGGTATATACCGATACCGAACTTCGGTATATACCGATACCGAAAATACGGACTTTTTTTGACTTGGAATTTTTTGGATTTTTTCATTTGAAATGAGGTATTTTAGCATCCTGGACAAGCAGAACGTATAAACAACACTCAGCTGTGTATTTTGAGCATGTTCAGATAGAAAGAAAAGAAAAACTTTGGCTTTAGAAAGCAAACAAAGCTCTTGTTTTCCGTCCCTGATTCATTCTGGGTATCCAGGACGCTAAAACATCTCATTTCAAATGAAAAAATCCAAAAAATTCCAAGTCAAAAAAAGTCGGTATTTTCGGTATCGGTATATACCGAAGTTCGGTATTTTCGGTATCGGTATATACCGAAGTTCGGTATTGTCGGTATCGGTATATACCGAAGTTCGGTATTGTCGGTATCGGTATTTTCGGTATCGGTATTTCGGTATGAATACCGATACCGGTGCATACCTAGGCAAAGTACTCCTGAGTATTGCTCATCTGGTATTTTCATATAGAGGAGTGATCTCAGGCATCAAGAGTTGAACTACAAGTCTAGTCATAGACGAGTCCATCTTTGACTATGTACACTGAGACCAGCGAGAAAAAAATACTGTAAATATTCTACGTTTCTTTACTAAACTCTAAGTTCCTTATACAGTCTCATTTTTGCAAAATAAAGCGGTGAATGACTATTTTCACATAAGTAACTGAGCACTTACTGAGTAACAATACTCAAAAATTGTTGGTAGAACTCATATGAATACTCATGAACGAATTAGAGTCCCCCTGGCGGAAATAAACGGTACACCTAGTTTCTGACAATTCGTTGACCAAAAGAAACGATCTAGATCTCATATTTCTACCATAGATACTACTCGCAAGTGCCTAACTGTACGTCATATCACTGG